CGTGATGCCTATATTCATGATCATTGCCTTAGATATCATCATAACTATGCGCGTTTGTATCAATTGCTCAGCAGTAATTTGTTTGCCCACCGTAATACATGCTATCTTGAGAGAAGCCACTAGTAAAACCTATGCCCCCTGGGTCTACTTTACATCATATAAGTTTCCAATCTACAATTTTAGTTTACTATTTATTTTGCAATCTTTATTTTCCAATCTATACCACAAAAATACCAATAATATTTATCTTATTATCTTTATCAGATCTCACTTTTGCAAGTGGCCGTGAAGGGATTGACAACCCCTTTATCGCATTGGTTGCAAGGTTCTTATTTGTTTGTGCAGGTACTAGGGGATTTGCGTGTAGTCTCCTACTGGATTGATACCTTGGTTCTCAAAAACTGAGGGAAATACTTACGCTACTTTGCTGCATCACCCTTTCCTCTTCAAGGTAAAACCAACGCATGCTCAAGAGGTAGGAGAGCTCAGATGAGCCCATTTTGCATCACTACTTACCCTTTGTTTTCACATGATAGTCATGGGATATTTGGAATTTTACTACGTCCGAGCGTCCTTTTTGCCTGATTCTACCATGTCCTTAAAGGTGAAGGATATTTCGAGCACTGGTTGGAAAACACATTTTTTGGGGGTGAAAATCATGCTAATTGATGTTTATAATAACCTACCATGTGAAGAGAAAATCGCATGGGAATAAAACCATCCACACATGATGTTCGAGAGGAGAGGGCGACATGCAATACAGGAACTGCCTGCTCATACCAATGCTCGTACCGTACGGGGCCACCACCTGGTCAACTATTTAACCTCCGACAATCAGATCTCCCAAAAGAATAACAATGAGGGCATAACCGTGAACCTTAAGTAGAACACCTCACCTTCGAAAGGGATCCGAAGGAGGAATCGATAGAAGAGCACCGCCACGCCAACACCTCAATCAAGGAGACTTCAACGTCTATCTTCATCATCATGCACATCCTTGATATCAACTACTCCATTCATCTCTTTGTAATACCAAACCCTAGGTGAATTCATACGTGTATTACATTAATCATTCATATGTTATTTCCATGAACATTATGAAGATGCTTATTAGTTCTTAGGGATATGGAGGAACCCTAGTATGTGTATGATCTGAACGCCGATAAGATAGATGATTTTCTTTATATGTTTGTGTCAACTATTCTTCTTGTTGTTGTATGAAGCCGAACTCACAACATTTGTCTTTAAGGACTTTAGGGATGCTACTATCATTGTGATGCGGGGATGAGGAGGTGTTGCCATGACGAAAGCTATCTCCGTCCTTTGTAGAATGTTTCACAAGGGAAATAAACGGAGACCTAAAAGCGTTAAGCCCACGTGTAGACCCTTAACCATTGCCGCCTTCACCTGGGAGGGGTAGGGATGGTGGTGGCATCTGTAGATACGGAGCTGTGGCAGCATGCATGTATCTTTATTTTGGCTCCGCCCACGTGAAAACATATAAAGTGGATTAGTTATTTGAACTCGGGTTAATTACACATTTGCACAATAACGCAGCAAACACAATAGTAGCGAATCCAGACTCCCTGAGAATGCATTAGCCCGATTGAAGTTCCCCTCACTTTCATTTACTCTCTTGTTTTTACTTCAATTCCAGCATACTTTAATCCTTGTCACAACACTCTTACAATATTTTCATTTTCACCTTGCCTTTGCTTCTGGCGGTTATTAACTTGTAGGCACATTACGATAAACCTCTGTGAAAGGCAAATACCGTTTTCAAAAAGTAAGAGATATTGAAGTGAGGTGCAAACATATATATTCAGCCGGACTAATAATGCAGTTTCTGTTGCAGCACCACGTTTAGTCATATTTTTCATTGTTCAAAAGACGTTCACCTACTTTGACGGTTTATCATCGTCTAGTCAAGTGTTTTCATTCTTGCGAGTACATAGAGAAGTGTGATCCACGAAAACTCATACTATGTAATGCTGCTTGTCTTCTATGAGCATTTACGGTTAACCTTTTTGTTTTCAGTCACGTGTTCATGTCTTGTCTCTCAAAACCAGAATGAACACATAATGTTGTAATATATATGCTCGTTTAGCATGACAACACTAATGCAGCCAAATACCTTTATTAAAACAACAAAAAAGTGTTAACAAAAAGTGTAAATACGTGTCACTAACGCGTCATGTTTATTTTGACTCGTTGCAATCCCTACGTTTCCATATGATTTAACATGACTGTTTCTAACTTTAAATTATTATTGTGTATGAAAGGTATGGGAAACACTTAACTTTTAATATACACTATAGCTAGACAAACAACAGTTGCGTGGAAACATCCTATCTTTGCTCTGGACTTTGTTGGGTCTATTAGACATAAAAATGAAAGTGTTCCCCGCATGAGACCACCCTCTTTTGAGAATGATAACGTGACTTTACCTATTAAATTTATAAATAACGTATATATAGGGAAAATACATCCTACAATCTAGGCTAATTACCCCACATGTCTCATATACTATATCTAAGATATTTCAAAGCAACTTATACAAAAAAAATTTGCATGTGAGTCCATATTTTTGTATATTTTAAAAATGCCTTCATATTTGTACGTATAAAACAACATACTAAAAAAATAGTGGAAATTTACTTTGGCACATGGGAGTATACACTTCTGCCTCTAAAATTTGCAGCATATATACGTTGTTCATGTTATATCCCGTGTACAAATGGAACAACAACAATGTTGAAGATAATCATCTCTCAACACATCAAAGATGAATTACAACTCACCTGACTCTCATCTCACACTCCTCACATACACACGCGGACGTACACCAACGCACCCACACATGCATACACACCAACACACACAAGGATACACACATGCGTCCGGATTAAGAAAGGAATGGCACGCGCGCGCTCACACACACACACACAAAATTGAACAAAAGCAAAGTTGCTCCAAGTGTGTAATGTTTATAGTTTGGAACTAGGTCATTTGACTTAGATTTCAAGTTTGGGGCAAGTAGCCTATCGATGAGTTTGTAACAGAAATCAGCATGCAAATTCAGTAGAACTTTCTTTTAATGAGTGCATACTTTACGGTAAATTTTGACTAAGATTTTCTGCCGACCTCTCTCGTGCTATTCACTCGAGTGGGATCATGCGGCACCACTAGTCGCCTAGTCCCACACATTAACCGACCCAGCCAGGCATTGAACGAGCAATGCCTGGTGGAGCAAAAGAAGAAGAAAAACAACTGAAACGGAAAATAAAATCAGACAACTTATAAATAGCTAAAGTGACAGAATGTCACCATGTATGCATCCAATGTGGTGGCACTTGCCATCTTTGACATCACAGATTCTTTAGGAATTACTATGTATAAACACAACATCCACATCGTGTTACAGAAAGGAAAGACAACAAGACAACACCAAAGATTCACAAAAAGAAAAAAAGAACAACATCAGAGGATTGCACGCCTGATACACAACAAGGGACACATATTTTCCTAGTGTTTATCAAAGGAACGCCAACAGAACGCTTGGCCATAATAATATCAGAGGAGCGCATGAACAGTACACGACAAGGGGTTCAGATTTTTGTTTATATTTGGCAGGACAAAGGCTACGGATTTGGCACGACATGAAACAGTTTATATGCACACGGTACTAATTTGTCATGCATTAAAAGATATCTTGTTCATGTTGTGTACAACAAACAGTTGCCTTTGTATCTTGAGAAATTTTTATATTGAAAAGATTTAGATTTGCTGAGCGATTCATCACTAGAAAGGTCACAGTTTGTTGGGGGCGAGGAGACTCGGCCTCACATTCAGTTACGAGGGCTACTGTGCCGGCAACCCATTGCGACACTAGTATTGTGGTAGAGCAACTGTCCTGGTAAGCTAAGTTGTTTTCATTTTCTGAAAACAGTACATAAGCAGAGACTCGTATGTAAAGACGCAGACGCCCCCACTGAAAGACGCAGACACTTTTGATGGACAAGCGTGGTGCCAAAATTAGGGTTGGATCCTTTGTGGTCGGTGGATACGAACACCCTCCTTACCATCTAATCAATTGGTTCTTGATAAGCTCATCTGTTTGGAATGAGGGTACATATGCATTTCTGAGACATTTATACAGGTCGTAGTCCTCGAAACAGCTATAAAATTGTATAACTGGACAACACATATCATCAATGGTTTTGTATGGTTTCTAGTAGGGTAAGGTGCATAAAAAATTGTCTACGAATAATAGGAGTTGCTCAAATAAACCAAACATTACTCATGACTGACAGGTGGTATTAATTGTTTCAAACTGAACATGGCCCTTGATTCACGCACGATTCAAACTAACAATCAGTGTTATCCGCGCTATAATACAACATATTCTTACAGGTTTATCCACCGAAAGGACTACAGGTTTATGAGATAGCATCATGATTGAAGACGAACATAGTTACTTAGGCAACTGAAGATTCAAGACACTTTGGATCGTGTTTAAAGAAGTAGAGGTCAGGTCACCAGTGGTGAACAGAAGCAGTCATGGGATTCTGTAGTTACAGAGGATGGCATGCTGAGACAATGCAGTGGCAGCAACTATAAAACACCAGGGCATGAAGGGTCTAGCAAAAAAGAAGAAAAAAGAAGACCAAGGTTCAGACATACTCGGTTTCACCTGACGAATCAGATGTACCTTGTGGCGACCCAAGTTGCCATTGAGCGTTTCATCACTACGGTGGTCTCTTTTTCGGTGTGGGGTGAGAGAGGCTCGAACTTACGACCTCAGGACCACTCACGTTTTCAGCTATGAGACCTACGCGCTAGCCAACTGCGCCACCACCCCACTTGTTGTGTTGGAAGCGAAACAAACGACCTTGTCAGCACCGTACAAATCATGGAGTAAATTCAAGGGATGTTTATGTCTTGCCAATTCCCGTTCAGTTAAGCTCCTTAAACAGCAGAGAAGAAGATGGTGGTGGTGTTCAGAGCGTGCTGCCGGACTGGTCGCCGTCGTCGAGGATGTAGGAGTAGACGCTGTGGAAGGACAGGACGAGGCCGACGGCGCCCAGCAGGATCCACCCCAGCAGGCTGTCGCCCAGCCAGGTGCGCTCAGCCGACATCCGCTCGTCCACCTCCAGCAGTGCCGGGGCCGCAACGAGCAGCCGCGCGCCCTTGGCTACCGCCGGAGCCACAGCCGAGGACGCCGCCTTCTTGTGGTCCTTGGAGGAGCTGCACCTCAGCCTCGCGGCCCTGGCCACTCTCAGCTGAGGCAGCCCTGCAGCCGGCGACGGCCTGGCGGCGAAGCCGACGGTGGTGGCGCTGATCGTTGCCATTGCTGCTGATATATGTAATATGTGTGCCTTCTCTTGATAGGAGCGGCAATTACTTGAGGGGAAGAGGTGCCTGTTAGACTGTATATACGTAGTCTTGTATAAGCCTTGTATTGTATCTCTTGGTACATCTATATAATAAGATAGCCACACCTCGTTTTAGGGTGTTGAGCTAGTTTTCCGAACCCTATGTTTTACATGATATCAGTTAAGATTATGTTGTCTTCCGCTGCACCACCTCCCGCCGCCGCTGCGCCGATCTCGACTGCCGCCGCCACGCCGGCCCTCGCCCCGATGTCGCCCTTCATGGCCTCTCGCCCCCTCGTGACGACGTACGGTGTCGTGCCGCCGCCGCCCACTTCCCCGCAGGCTTTGGGATCTCCGGACGCTCCAATCGTCCCGACCGAGCCCGCGGCGCTGCCGGCCCCTGGCGGCCCTCCTCCACCGAGTCCGCACCCGTGGTGTGGTGCTCCCGCACCATCCTATGGTGCGCCCCCGCCGCCGTCATCCTTCTGGCCGGGGTCGGCCTATGCTGCGCCGCCGCCGCAACCCTACACGACGGTGCTGCATCCGCCGCCACCACACCACTACTATCAGGCGCCGCCGCCGTCCTATGGGGGCGCGGCCTCCTCGCCGTACGGTGCCCCTGCAGCGCCCGGCCAAGGTGCTTCGGCTGCTGCGGGTGCTGGCCCCTACGCCGCGCTGGGCACCTACGGTCCTCTTGCAGGGCCCGGGCACGGCGCTTTGGCTGCCGCCTCTGCCGGGTCCTACTCCTCCCCTGGCGCCTATGCGATGGTACCTCGTCCAGAGATGGCCCTGTCCATGGATCCCTATGCCCCACTGGCGCAGGCGTACACTGCTCAAACCGCGGCGCCGCCGCCGTTTTATTTCTCGCACCTGCTGCAAGGTGAAGCTCACGCCGGACAACTACCTGTCATGGCGTGCTCAGGTCTTGCCTCTACTCCGTAGCCGCTACTTGGAGGGCTACGTCGACGGATCCATCCCGTGTCCACCCTCTCACCATCCGGCATATCACACGTGGGTGGCACAGGATCGGGCTATTCTCTCCGCTATCCAGTCTTCGCTCACGCCGAGTGTTTCGTCGATGGTCATCTTCACCGCTACGTCCAGGGAGGCGTGGGCGGCCCTCCACACTAGTTTCGCCTCTCAGTCTCAGGCGCGTGCGCACTCTATACGCACCGAGCTGGGTGAGACCAAGCTTGGCGATCTCAGCATCACGGAGTACTTCAACAAGATGACGAGTCTCGCCGACACCTTGGCCTCTGTTGGTCAGCCGCTCCAGGACGAGGACTTCACCACTTTTGTGCTTAACGGGCTTGATGATGATTATGACAATCTCATTGAGAACGTCCATGGTCGAGAGGATACGCTCCCGCGTCATGAGCTCTATGCGCGCCTCCTTGGGCATGAACAGCGCATCAAGGCGCGCCGTGTTTCCCCCAGCTTCGCCTCCGCCAACGCCGCCACACGCGACAAACCTCAGAAGCCGGCCGCATCAGGTGGCAAACCATCGGCTTCCTCGTCGCAGGCCTCGCGGGGCAACACGCCGACCATCACTGGAGGGAGTCGCCCAGTTGCTTACTGTTCTAGTTGCGGTGCTCCTCATGCTTGTCAGCTTTGTGGCATCGATCGTCACCTCGCCTCTCGCTGCCACAGACGCTACAAGCAAGACTTCCTTGGCCTTGGTAACAATGGAAAAGGGAATGATAAGCAGACTGCAGCTGCTGTGACGGGGCACGAGCACGGGCGCACCCAGTCCTACTCTCTTGATCCGACGTGGTATATGGATACAGGAGCGACGAATCATCTCACCAACGAGATGGGCAGGCTCTCCACTCAGGAACCATATCATGGACATGATCAGGTGCACACCGCCAACGGAGCAGGTATGCGCATCTCCCATGTTGGTCAGGCATCACTTCTTGCACACAATTTTTGCAAACTACATCTTTCCAATGTCCTTCGAGTTCCCTCTGCTACGCGTAGTTTGTTGTCTATTCCTCAACTTACTCGTGATAACAATGTCCTTGCTGAGTTTCACCCTTTTCGTTTCTTTATCAAGGATCGGGACACGAGGGCCGTTTTGCTTAGTGGTCGTCTTCGCCATGGCTTATATGCACTTGACGCACCACCTGCATCTCCTAAGCCGTCTTCTCCTCAGGTGTTCAGTGGTGTTCGTGTGTCGCCTACGCACTGGCATGCGCGCCTTGGTCACCCTGCTGCTCCTATAGTTAGTCATGTGCTGCATCGCCATGAACTACCAGTTGTATCCAATAAAAGTGCTGAAACTATCTGTGATGCCTGTTAGCAGGGCAAGAGTCACCAACTACCTTTTTCAGAGTCTAGTCGTGTTGTGAAACATCCTCTTGAGTTTGTGTTTTCTGATGTATGGGGTCATGCCCAAACGTCTGTTAGTGGTCACAACTATTATGTCAGTTTCATTGATGCTTACAGTCGGTTTACTTGGCTATATCTTATCAAGCGTAAATCTGATGTGTTTGATGTTTTTATTCAGTTCCAAGCACATGTTGAGCATCTCCTTAAGCACAAAATTATTCATGTTCAATCCGACTGGGGGGGGGGGTGAATATCACAACCTCAACTCGTTTTTCAACAAGCTTGGGATCTCGCATCGCGTATCTTGTCCTCATACACATCAGCAAAACGGCACCGCTGAACGTAAGCATCGTCATCTTGTAGATACTGGACTTACTTTACTAGCTCATGCCTCTGTCCCGTTTCGGTTCTGGAGTGATGCTTTTTCCACCGCCTGTTTCTTGATAAATAGGCTTCCCTCATGACTACTGAAAATGAAAACCCCTCTTGAACTCTTGCTCAATGATATCCCAGACTACACGTTTCTCAAAGTGTTTGGGTGCGCGTGTTGGCCGCACTTGCGGCCGTACAACAAGCGTAAGTTAGAGTTTCGGTCTAAGAAGTGTGTCTTTCTTGGGTACAGTTCTCTCCATAAAGGGTACAAGTGTCTTCATGTTCCCACCAATCGTGTTTACATTTCTCGTGACGTTGTGTTTGATGAGAATGTGTTCCCGTTTCGTGCTCTTCCTAACCACTCTACCATTAGTTTACCACATGTGCACTCCGCTACACCTTCGCCAGATCAATTTGTGGATGTTGCAAATGCTCCTGTGTTGCTTCCTAATCATGCTGCAGGTATTGGACGTGGTGCCCGTCTTGAACTCCTGGATGATGAGGCTATGAACAACACTCACGATGGTCATGATGATCCGGTGCATGGCCCATGCATGGCGGGCCCGCCCGATGCATCCACAGCCGACCCGCGGGCGTCGGGCGCGGTAACATCCACTGCCAAAGTGTGTGTTGCAAGTATGTATTGCAGGCAGAAGCAGTCCAGCAGATTTATATTGGATCATCACGGGTCCATCAAATGTGGGCATGCACCTTTGACGTCACAGATTCCTACCGGCTGTCAAGCGCGCCCAACCAGGCACCGGGAGGAAGCAACAGTGCACGGTGGGCCGGCGTCAGGCATAAACACAGCACGTCCAACTTGTGTTTGGTTCTCTGTGGTTCCACTAGGCATACATAGGCATTACTAACTAGTGCAAGTGTTCCTTGAGACAAAACAGACAAGAACGTGTCCAGGAAACAATTGGGAGCATGCATGCCGTTGCCGCACTACTGCTATTTGGCTGCCTATCATCACTGTAGCACGATGATCATGCTGTTAAGGCTAGCTTCTTACCAGCAGCAGCAGCAGGTGCCTTTTATCTGTGCATCTTCTGAAACACAAGGATGAGCTTCAGAGGTTAATCACACCACACACACATAGTATAACAGAGTTAACGGTCCAAGCTAAAACATACAACCTCTGCAATTTCTTGCCACACTAGGAAAATAGATACTTCTGACAGCAACCAAACATTAACTTTGTCGTGATGGGAACCGAAAGACCAGGTTCAGACAAGGCTCAACAAGACACCGGCGACGAGATAAATTTATCATCTTATTGAGCCTGAACATCAGTGCTTGGGCAGGAGCAGGGAAGCAGAGAGGAAGGCGTAGATTACTGTACTAGGCGGGATCCAAAAAAAATGAAAAATGAGACACCGGGTTCAGACGTGCTCGGTTTCACCTGATGATTCAGGTGTAGCATGTGGCGACCCAAGTTGCCGCTGAACGTACCACCACCCCACTTGTTGTTTAGTCAGCGAGCGAAACGACTGCTCTTATTCAGTTGGTTGTGGCAGAAAGAGAAACGGGTGAACATATATTTTAAAAGAGACAGTCCTCGGAATTGTGAGAAAAAGGGTGAAGAATTCAAGATCCATACAACAACACAAGCACACAGCATAGATACCTCAAAAAAAAAAGACGGCACAACTATTATCCCTGGACGAAACAGATCGCTGGTTGTTCTTTTCTTGATTGTTTATACTGGCAGGGGTGACTTATAGCGCAGCTAATCAATCGAGGACTCGTTCTGCGGCCTTAGCAACTTTGTGTGCCGACAAGTAGGGCACACAACATTAGTTCGGATTTAGAAGCAATGAGTGAGACCGTGAGAAGACATCTCAAATTTTCGTTCACTGAAAATGAACCTGCCCTGGCGCGACATAACTCGAAGAGCGCTAACATTCAACCAACATGACAATTCAAGCCCTTGGTTCAGCAATTCACACACATAGCTCAAACCAAACATCTGTTTTCTCAGTCATACCCGTAGACGGCAGGTCCTGTTTCAAAGGGTTACAGGTTTACACCATTTAAGTCGATATTCAAGATACGGACACATAGTTACGCGACACTTTGGAAGTCGGCAGACATTACATAAGGGGTCGCATCGCAAGTACTGGCATTTCACAGAACACAGAAGGGCCGCATACTGCAGTACTGCACATGAAGAGGACTTTTGCAGCATGATTAAGATATCTTGGGCAACGTATCGTGTTTTTTTAACACACACCGAGGGCAACGTATCATGTGAAATTTCAACTTTTTGT